TGATTCGAAGGAATTGCACCGAATCACTCACGTCATACTAGGACCTCATTCCTGTTGAAAACATAACTGATTTTACTTTGTATTATTTCGATGTCATAAATAATGCATCATTTAAAATATTAATGTTGCTTGTAATGATCTATAATTGTACTCGGCCGTATGAATTGGCATTCAACAATATTATCTTTTTGCGCACAGTCCTTACGCAAGTATGGTGGGTATGTCACATGGCGTACCATTTTATTACTCCGAAATCGTGTCGCAATGTTCAATGTTGGTTGTCAATGTTGGTTTTCTCCGTATTTAGTTTATTGTGCAACTCATCGTGTAAATTGATAAACCTGTGACTTTTCTGCAGTACTATCGCAATTTAAAATAGTTTTATACCGCTACCATATGATACTTGAACCTCAGTGAATAATTATATAGTGTGAAAGGAAACCAGTTCTAGAAAATGATATTTTGTGTCCTAGCATTTTTTCGCGCACGAGAGTAATTGACAATTTTAAGATTCCTTTTCAATTTTGAGATAATATGGTGATACAATCTATTCTTCTCTTAACTGATTCTACAGATGTCCCACATACTATGGTCCACCCCCATAACTTCTAGACGGTTCAGGATATTGAAAAGCAGTTTTCGCTAAACAATGCGGAATCATTGATGAGAAATTGTCTATAATAATTTTAGTTTCCTAAAAACTTAATAATCTTTGCTTTTTAAGTAGAACTATATATTTTTCTCCCAGCAATGGATAGATTATGAAAAAAGGAATACAATGATGTATAATATGTTAATATTTTGATAGTAATTTGAGTATAAAATTAGACTTTCTGACATGTGATTTGTAAGTAAACTGATAACATTTCCTGTAGCTGCCCTTGCAACAGTCTCCGTTGGGGAAGGCGACCTTCCAGGCGTTGATACTGTTTCATGGAGACAGGAGTCTGAGTGGGGTGACCGTCAAGGATAGAAGCGTTCCTACAGCAATACATGGTCTTAACACGCAGAACATATGAACACCATCAATTTTAACGAACAGAATGAGAAATTGTTTTCCATTTGTTCATCTAAATTGAATTTTTCTTCTACTGAAATTCCAAAGCAACGATAATAGAAAAGAACAAAATTTGAAAAAAAGATTGTTGCGGAAGGACGATAATAAGAAAGGTCATTTTCAAACTCAAGAATCGAGCTCATTGTATCATGGCAAAAACAAGCCATCATTTTAAAACATGGAATTTTCATTGTAGTATATCGATTAATTCATTAAATAATAGGTAGAAAGACAGTTTCTTTTATTATTTACTGTTAATAAACTTCATATTTAAACGTGTACCAAAAGAACAAAATAATACAAATTTCGAAAAACCCTTGTCAGTTCTAGCAGTGTAAATTTAGCAAACTTTAACAAAAATGGCATCTACAGTCGCGACTGCTAATGCTGCCTGGGGAGTTTCTTACTTCTTAGCGCCTAGTGCTGCCACAAACCTGGAAATTCACGACGGAAGACGGTGTACTGTTTTCTTTTCCATTTATGAACAACAGTAGTTGTATAGCTGCGAAGTGGAGGAGTGATAAACTTAATTAAAAATGAAATATACCAACTAAGGGATTCTTTCCAAGTTTGAAAATTAATTTAATATTATCATCTTCCTTACGGTACCAGTTTTTATATCGTTCTTTGGAATGATCGATTTTTGGAATTTCAGTAGCGGACAAGTTAAATCCAGATGAACCAATGGAACATCTATCATTCAGATTGTTAAAATTGGTGTTTCTATGTGTGACCTGTGTCAAGACCGTCGACTGCTATATTTATGCCTCTTATCCCACACGGCAACCAATCTCAGTCTCTCCTCTCCACAACAGTCTTGAAGCCGCGAAGGTCACCTTTCCAGAAGGCGAGAGATGCAGGTGCTGCTAAATGAAGTATTGTCCGTTTAATTCAAAATCACTCGACAGAAAGTTTAATTTCATACTCAAATTACTATAAAAATACCATCAGATGATACATCATTTTATTCCTCTTTTCATGATCTACTCATTGCTGGTGAGAAAAATATATAGCGCCGTTTAAAAATCAATGATTATTCAATTTATCGAAAACTAAAAATATTGTATACAATTTCTCTATGACATTCTACTTGCCCCATGATTCCGCATTGTGAAGCGGAAACTACCTTTTGATATCGCGAACATCTGAGAAGTTACTGGGATGGCCCATAGTTGGTGGGACGTTCTGTATAATTTGAAATTGTTGGGTCGGCCAAATATAAAATGAAAGTGTTCCATTATCTTATTTTTAAGATGATACGTTACAATATGACTTTATTTTTCAATATTTATACTACAAATATCTTTTAACTGCTTCTATTTTTCAGTGGCAGGCAAAACAAATTTGTGACGCGATTTTGGAATTTAATGTTCGATAAAACGCTGTTTCTGTCACGACCTAGGTAGATTCCTTTTTTGTGACCATTTTTTAGAACTCATGAGCGTAATTACACTCAAACGAGTAGACAAATTAAAATAAAAATACGAACTCCGAATGAGTTTTGTTTGTTTTTAATTCCTGTATTTATTTTCCGCTTGAGTAGTAACTACCACATCGAGAGGGAAAATTAAATCGTAACGACCATGTGCCAGTGTGCGTTTTGATTATTCTGAGCATTTGTGAACCTGCAAAATGTTTAATGTTCTGGGCCTCCAACTCATTTCATCCCAGCATTATTTTGACTCAGAACTATTAATAACAGGGCAGCAAATCTGTGGTGAATTTATTAATTGAAAATGTAATATTAGAGAGACAGTGCTTGGGTGTGTAAATGTCTTCTAGGAAAATTGTTGAAATGACCTAATCATTCTGCTGCAAAGGTAAGAAATGAACATGTAATGGAAATGGTAAAAATGCAGTGTTTTCTTAATCTCATGTTCTGTACAATTTTTTGTTTTACCACTATTTCTTTGTAATTTTAGTGAGAAAATGGTGTAAGAACAAATATTCACTAGGATCTAGTAGCACTGATGCTTTTAAAATCCTTACTGCATCTGTTTAACTTCCTAGCAGAATTCTAAAGTTTATTGGAAAAATTGAAGCTATTGTAATTTCAAAATAATCTTCTCCATTGCAGCTACAATGCAAACAATAATTTATTTCATTGGCTGAAACAACATATACAATACTTTTTTCGTTTGTACATAAAACAAATCACGCATGAGCATTTGATTTTGTGGCGAAATACCACTTCAATATGTTTATTTGTTTATTCGTTTATTTGTTTACTTATCCTTGACCATGATTTGTTTTAGACTCATTGCAACAGTGAAAGAAGTGTTATATTTGAACATATGTAGAATACTCACATAATTGTTTTATTCGAGTCTAAACATTATCCCTTTTCGTACTAAAGAGTAAATAGCTTTTATCCACTTGTGAAAATTAGCCAAAGCTTTTCAATCTTGCTTAAATTTTTGCGTTAACATAACGTAGTCTGTAAGAGGCTGCTAGTACTTTTACATCCAATTTATTTATAAAAAAATTCAAATACATTTTTAACTAAAAGCTACAAGTACTTTTTTCTGAATAATGTGTAAGATCATATGAGTGAGTAATGAGAAAACTTCACTTTAGTGGGCAGGATGAGCAACATTGCAAATGGCTGTATTTAAGAATAGGATGATTTGATTTAAAATTAAACATTGAAGGTCATCTTCAATTCAAAATGTTTAAAAACTATTCGTAAGTTTTTCCACTGATTTTTGTATGTTCACATCTGAAACAAGGGGATCCCGAGAGTAACCACTCTCGTGTGCCACAAATTACTATTGATTCTGATATGTGATAATTTTGTATTCGACAAATTATTCACTTTCAAATTGTCTCCCCAAATTACTCTCTGAAACATCTAACATATAATGTTACATATAATGTTACATATAATGTTAGATGTTTCAGAGAGTAATTTGAGGAGACAATCTGAAAGTGAAAGAATATATTATACACTAATGTTTACAAATTTCTGAAGGATATACATTTATTTGATGCACTGTGAAGAATTATGTATATAGTCACTAATGACCTTGCAGTTTATGCGACAAACAAAATAAAGCGTATTTGAAAAACATATTCGCTTCATTTTCTCCTTCAAGTTGCGTTGAATTGAAAATCTAGGAAGGATACTTGTCTTCCACAGTAGGCAATGAAATACAATAGCCCGGTACTATGACATTCAAATAGGTTGAATATTTCCTTAGATTCCGAGCCATAAGAAGGAAATATCGTGTTCTTGCTTAATTTTACAATGTCCTAGAAACTGAAATATAAGGCACCGTTAGATGTGATAAATTTCACTTAGTTGTAAAGATAGTACTTTTTTAAACACGTTCATTATTAAACTTCAAAGGAGATTAAAAAAATCAAACTCTCTTCTGATAAGACCCTTTAGCATTGAAAAACCTGAGTAATAAGTTGTATAAGTAACATGAAAAAAATATGGGTGTCTATGTGATCTCTTTTGCGCGGCAAAGTGCAGCAACTCGACGTGTCATGAACTCAACAAGTCGTTGGAAACTCTCTGCAGAAATATTGAGCCATGCCACCTGAGTAACCCTTCATAACTACGAAAATGTTACCGGGACCTAATTTTCTGCAGTAACTGACCTCTCGATTATGTCCTGTAAATGTTCTATGGAATTCATATCGAGCAATCTGGATGGCTAAATCATTCGCTCAAATTGTGCAGAATATTCTCCAAACCAATCGTGAATAATTATGTCCCGGTGACATGGCGTATTGTCATCCAGAAATAAATCCATCGTTATTTGGGAACATGAAGACCATGGATACCTACGGGTCTCCACGTAGCTGAACATAATCATTTCCAGCCAATTATCGGTTCAGTCGAACCAGAGAACTCAGTCCATTCCATGTAAAAACATCCCACACTATAATGGAGCCACCACCATCTTGCACAGTGCCGTGTAGACCACTTGCGCCCATGGCTTCGTGGGGTCTGCGCCACACTTGAAATCTATGATCAGCTCTTACCGATTGAAATCGGTGCTCATGTCACCAAGTTGTCTAGGCTCAAATCGATATGGCCACGAGTCCAGGAGAGACACTGCAGGCGATGTCGTGTTCTTCGCAATGGCACTGTGGTCGGTCTTCTGCTTCCATATCCCATTGAAGCCCCAATTTCGCTGCACTCCTAAAAGATACGTTCTTTGTACATCTAACATTGATTTCTGCTATTATTTCACGCAGTGGTGCTCGTATGTTAGCACAGACAAATCTACGCAAACGTCGGTGTTCTCGGCGTGTAAAGTGAAGGCCGTCGGCCATTGCGTTGTCTACAGTGAGAGGTTCTGACTGGAATTAGGCGTAACCTTTTGGGCTCGGCACACTTTGGAAACCAAGAATCTAGAAAAAATAAATTCTCTATCGATTTCCGAAGTGGGATATATCATGCGTCTTCAACTATCTTTCCGTGTTCAAAAGCTGTTATTTCCCGTCGTGTGACCATAATCACGTCAGACACATCTATGATATGCGTGATTAATGTGTCACGGCATACAAGCGGGTCGTGCGTTGTGGATTGGATTTTCACCTGACTGTTTTAAACGAAAGCGTTTCTTTAAATTTCTTAATTGTTGTTTTGTATTATTTCAACATCTATATTCATTAGTGTCAGAGAAGGGGAAATAAAGGGAATAGGAAGGTAAGTTCGTGCGCGGTCCGTGGCCCATTGTATATAGTGCTGCTCCAGTGTACATCTGAAATTAATCTCGGAAACCACTGATCAAGCAGTTAGTCTACCAATTAGATTCCCGCAAACGCTGCTTACTCACTAATGATAAAGAGAATAAGCACATTTCTAGCACTTTGCAGGATCGAATCCCCCGAGTTCCCCACTGGTGGCATCAACCACTAGCGTTGGCTTTGCACTCGGCGCTACCGGCATTAGTGCGTTGGCAACGAGGCTTCTGTATATATGCAGTCAAATTCCAACTTGTACCTTATCGGTGACATTATTTTTCTTTTGAAATATTCAAAAACATTTGAGCGGGAGAGTCGTAAAAGTGATCTAAACTACGAGTACATCAATGGGAGGATTATTTCTGTAGTTTAGATACCTTTAACGATGGAAAAAAATGTTAGTTTTATAAAGAATAGATACTCTGCCAAAACCACCGTATCAGCCGCCACTGTATCAACTTTTTGACTGTTTTGTGCCAGGTAGTGTTACAATGTTTTCCCAGTTTGGCAAGTATTCATCCGATATTACAACTACCATTTTGTATGACGTAGTCATAAGTGTAAAGATTGTTTTTCTATGTGTATGGATGGGTATCGATCCAGGACGCATTAGAAATAGTTCGATTGCAATTTTTTTCACTGCTACCGCAGCTGCGGGATCGCCTGTCACCAGGGAAGACGGATGCCGCGTCATCGAACGATGTTAACTGCAATAAAAACGCACAGGTTGCAGTATAATTTTTTAATAAAAATGAAATTCGCGCCCATTATTTAAAATTGCATCGCGCTGCTTGGTGGTAGTACAGGTTGCCGCCGCTTTCGTCGCTGTGAATTTCAATAAATGACGAGCGCTGTGTATAATGCAGCGCTCTCTGAACGGGAGCGCGAGCGTGGAGGTGGTGGTTGCGGCAACGAGTGCAGCGGCTACGTAACGAGTGGCGCTTCTCCGTTCTGTCGAATGCACTATATTTTTATTTCGATTTTTCTGCGTTTCGAGGCTCCGCGCCGAAATTCCGATGTTTGAACAACACTTTTATAAGTACTTGGATTAGTGTGTTGCTTTATTCACAAATGAGTGCAGTCTGCATAGGAATTTGGAGCTACCCAGCATTAATTACAAGGTACTGTAGTAGTTGGGTTAAAGTTACTCGTAATGTAGTGTACAGCTGGAGAAATGCTGTAATGTTTAACTTCACTAAGGAGATTTCTTGTTTCATTGGGGGCAGGAGGAATATACAAGAACACACGTTTAGAATTCTCGGTAACGATAATTTTTTCTGCAATTCGATTTTACGATGGAAAAATGACAAATAGAAAACTGAATGGAAATGTTGGAAATGATACATACGCTTTGATACCACTACAAAATATACTTACTTCTTTACTAATACCTTTGCTTATCATTGGCATACAGGCAGAATGAGAAATCTTAATCTTACTTGTGAACCTGTTGGGATTTAACACTGCCTTTGTTTGGCAAAAATCTACAAAAACTTATATTACACAAATTATATCTCATCGACATAATCCTAACCAAGTTACATTCATTTCAGTAGTTTGAATTTAGTTGACTAGTTTTCTGCCACTTTTATTCATTAATATTGGACAATGCATAGTTCAGTATCATACTACTATATATTGTGAAAGCTTACATTATACCTTATTATACTACATTTAACTACATTACACATTGGATATGCGTATGTAAGATCTCTTATTGTTTAAAATTAATAAAAAAACATTTAGGCTTGAAAAAGGAATCTATTTTTAGTTTTTGTTGGAAGTCTTGAGTCCATTTTGTAGTAAACTGCATGGTTTACTGTATTTAGGTTAGAATAAAATAGTTTAGAAAAGGGTAGTATGTCTGGTGATGGGTGATACATTTATCTCTTCATGAATTTGGATAATTGAAATGAATCAAAGGGGGTGTGTTGCTAGTCTGAGGAATAAATACTTTAACAATTTGAAGTTCTCTTATGTAGGTAATTGAAATGTTGGTCTTACGTACAGCATTAAGGATCTGACAGTGACTTTATGACGTATAAGCGCGTTCGTTAAAAGGAAACAGCTTTTGAAGTAGATGAGTGTTTTAGTTGAGCTATTTTTATTTTTGCTTGTATTTATTTTAGTGTTACGATTTTTTCAGTTCAGTCTTTTGTCAAAGCTAGGGCTAAGGCATTTTACTGTTTAATTTTGTGGTGTCCATGAAATTGTATTTATTATTATATGTAATAAAGAGATGTAGGCAAACTATTTTAAAGATAATATTTTAGCGTTATATTTAGTAGGGTTAAGTTTGATTTTCCAGAATGTTGACACCTTTCTTTTATTTAGGTGATGTATTTTCTCGTTAATTGTCTTCAACAAATCGCTGATGATTGCTGCATCATTGTAAAATTGTTATTTGTGTGCATTGTGGTGGGTATGTCGGCTGTATAGATGTTAAATAATGAGGCTGAGTGCGGAAGTCCATGAGAAAGGGGTATGACTTGCTAATATATTACGGGTGGGTGGGGGTGGGTTTGTGATTTTCTTTATGAAAGTTATGTCAGCTAGAATTTTTTTGATGATGTTTAGTAAATAAAATGTTCAGAATTTGTAAACAAGACGTTGGCACCATATTTAATTAAACGACTGTGATATGTCAAGGAACTTAACTATTGTATGTTTTGAAAGTCTGTGTGACTCTTTTATGATTGTATAAGTAGTTGATACGTGATAAACATAATAAATCAAAACTCGTGTAAATGAATTCATCCAAGGCCATATCGTTTTTATAAGAGATTTTATATTTTTCAGTTAATTTGGGGATATTGGTTCTATATTTTCTGGCACAACTTAGTTGAAAATCTAAAAATCGCCCCTATATTGACGTGATCGGGGTGGGTTGGTGTGTTGTTAAGTGTGAATATCGCGAAATGATTCACCAGTGCTCTGGCTTTTGCGAATGAGTTGATATTTGTATCTGTTGTAAAGGGTGACAGAATATTTTTCTTGTGTAGATTTGTTTTGTGTGCTACCAGACTGAATTATTGGTTATACTGATGTTGATTAGTGTATTGTACTCTTTCTTGTATTGAGTCACTCATCTACGAAAATTATTCAAATAAATAAAAGGGTTAGGTTTCTCAATTCTACGAACCAAGTTTTTTCAATTGAAAACCTGAATGTAAGAACCAGATAATAACCACTTTTTGCGAGAATGAGATTTTCTTATGATGCCCTCTATCGGTAGACATTGTCTTTTTTGGTAATAAGTTCTTGATCATTCCAGGAGATGCCGTTGAAATTTTACTTTCTCCTCTCTGAGTGCAAGAACCATATAATAGCCGGAGTTATCAACTTCTTGCACTCAGACCTGAGGTGGTCCTGAGAAATATGACTGTTTGCAGCTGGAAGCTCAATGATGAAAACAGAGGTAAAGTAAGCAATTTGAATACTATTTTAATAAAAACTAGTTTTTTAAACTACTAAATTAATATATTTATTGTAATATATGTATGTTACCACATAAAATACGCACGATCATGCAGATCTCTCTTCGAACTAATTTTAAGTATGTAGTTCCGTTTAAAGTTCACAACAAAGCCTTAGAAGAGGACGAAAAATGAAGAGCAATGAAATTAAAAGAAATACACGAAAAGTAAAGTGACAGTGAAATATTTATCTTGATGGCCCAATTTTAAGCGCTTTTGCTGCTCATTTCTATCGGAACGATGTTGAATTTGTAGTTTGACACTAATAGCTAAGTAGCTAGGCCTTAGATTGATAGATGGAATTCAGCCTCTGTCCGGAGGAGAACTTTAGCTGGTCTGAACGGTGCTCTGAACGGTAGTTATCAGTGATTTCTTCGAACAACATCACGCGAATGCCGGAGCAGTATCTTGACAAATGAGCCATGGACTCCTCGCTATCTTTCCTTCCTCTTACTCTTCCTTGTCATATCCTCTCCCATTACGTACACACACTTGCACGTACACGCCCTACAGTACCACACATGTCGGGGAATCAGTCTGGAGCTTAGAGCTTGTCTTGGCTAGGACGGTGCCCCGCTGGTGATGGATTCGTGGTCGGGGAACACTCTTGAAACCTTCGCCGAATCTCCGCATTCAGGGGAGGAGGAAGATCACTGCCACATCTCGCGATAATACACTACACTTACGGGACTAATGACCTTAGATGTTAGCGCGCTCGGAATCACTAATTAATCAAGTAAATTTAAGGTGAACAAAATGACTTTACATTAGGTTTTCTCGGGGTTCTGCAGTTTTCGTTGTCTCTCATTCCAATATTTACATCTTCATGTTCAGTACACTCTTTATCATCATAATCATTTCAAATCAACATAAACTTATTCCCGGGGAGACTCGACGCTGGTTGTGTTGCTTTTCGAGCTTCGGAACTACGGCCATTGAAACCTGTTCCTGAAAATTCGTGCTAAATGTTAATAATAACAACACCTTAATCATCATACAACATAACATTATTGCCAAGTAAAGCCATGAGCGAGTTTTATGACATTAGGCCACAAACATCCCTTCAAGACTGTGGTGGAGGAAGATTAAAATATCGGCTCCAGAATGGCGCCTGGCCGCCCGTGGGAACCACTTGGCGGCACCGCGAGGGCTCGCGCGCGCGAATCACAGCGCTGGCGTTGCGGTGCGCTAAATGGGGCTTAGGCGCGGGGCTGAGGTATCGGCCTCGATCTCCCATTAGTAAATGAAACATCCCGCGCGCGGAAAACATCACAGAATGAGCTTATGATCTGCGCGGCGCGGCGCGGCGCGGTGGGCCGGCGCGCGTGAGCCGCCAAATCCCGCGCCCGCTCCCAATGCGCTCTATTTGCGTTATTGGCGTGCGCACGCATACGCGCGCTGTCTTCGCCCACCCGCCAGCCTTCGATCGCGCGCCTCGCCCGCCTCACCCTCGATCACCCGCCAACGGCCGCCTACCCGCCTACACCCGCCCTCGTTTACCCGCCCGCCCTCGCTTACCCCTTCCTTTCACCCGCCAACCCAGTCTAACCCATTTATTCTCGCATTCCCGCCAGCACTCACTTTCGCTTACCCGCCAACCCTCGCTTACCCGTCTGCTCTCTCTTAGTCGGCAGCTCTCGCTTACCTGCCCGCACTCGCATATCCACTCACACTCACTTACCCGCCTGCTCTCGCTTACTCGACAGCTCTCGTTTACTCACCAACCCTCGCTTACTCGTCCGCTCTCGCTTATCTCCCAGCCCTCGCTTACCTGCTCGCTCTCGCTGAACCGCAGCTCTCGTTTACCCGTCCGCGCTCGCTTACTCGACAGCCCTCGCTTACCCGCCCGCTCTCATATACAGGCTCACTTTCACTTACCGGTTTACTCTCATTTACTCGCCAACCCTCACTTACCCATCTGCCATCGCGTACCCGCCAACCCTCGTTTACTCGCCTGCTCTCACTTAACTGACAGCCTTGACTTACCCACTCGCTCTAACGTATTCGTCATCCTTAGCTCGCTGCCCTCGCTTGCCTGCAAAGTGCGCGGGCGAGCAATGTCGAGCAAGGGTAAGCGAGGGCGGGTGGACGCCAGCTGATTGGGTTGGTGGCCGCGGACTCTCGCGTCGACGGCTTATGGAATTCCATCTTGCGTTGACAAGTTGCTCGATGCGCGCCACGCACTTTGCCAAATGACGTAAAAAATTCTGCTGTAAAAATAAAATCGGTCCGGCTATTCAGGTCCCAATTCGCAAAAGTAATTAATTGGTTACAAGTTGCAATTGTCAATGCTAAGTGCGTGAAATGTTTTTATTTTTTTATTCCTGCGGAATAGATGAGAACGAATAAAGATAGAGTAGAAAAAAAATTAAAAAACGTAAGAGGAGGAAGACACGATAAATCCCGCGTGTCATGGCTTTCTCTATACGTTGAAGCATATATCGTGATTTGTCACAATTATTCGGTGATCATCGTAGTAAAAGTATTGGTAAACATTGTGAACTCTCGGAAATTTTACGTGAAGTTGGAATATATTCTTAATATTGCAAATGATTGATTACACAATATAACGTAATTCAATTAATATTTTGTTGTATGGAAATGTAGCTTCCAATTGCAAAGAATGCACTGTGTACTTTCTCTTGTCGTTTCTTAATTGTCCTTACATTTCTTATGAAGCTATAAAGATGGAGATTACATTTGAAAATACCCCTCCCATACATTGCATGCTCGCATGTTTTAGGAAAGTGTCTGGGGCTCTGTCCAAGGTCAGTGTCTTGCCGCAAGACTCAGTTTGTCTGAATCATTCCGAGTGCAACGGAGTATGTAGTGAGCTAAGGAGGCGAAACAAATGATGCGAAGACTGCAGAACTTCTGACACTGGTCGGCTTCAATGCTGGAATCCATTCAACATTTTAAAACTTAAGAGCAACCAGGAAGAGAGATTTCTCAATATTTCTCATCCAAGCTATGGTTCTACTGGGAACATCTATTCTGCTGTCGTAGAAAACTTGTCTCTAGACGAACTTTGGAGACAATGAAATTTCAACAAAGTATTCTAGACTATATATCTATTTATAAATCTAGTCAATTATAATTGGAATAATTGGAATAAAGACGTGTTTAACTTCATGCGCGAGAGTTCACGCGCCCAGGTTGGAACAGGTTCTTCCGACGTCGCCCGGGCGCAGCGCCATGATTGGCAGATCGGGCGCGTTAGGGGGCGGCGGCGGCGGCGGCGAAGGGTGGCGAGGACGTGGGAGGCGACGGCGGGCTGCCGGAAGGCCCCAGCGCTGAGCCGGACGCCGCCGCGCGGAAACGGCTATTATTCAATCAGGAAGCCGCTGCATGATTGAGAGTCTCAGCCCGAAAATTAATAAGGAGTTAACTTGTCTTAAGTTGGCTGCGGCGGCGGCGGCGAGCGTTCGCTGGGGCGCGGGTGAGCGGAGGCCGCGGTCTGGGCGTTGATGATTTATAAGCGCCCTCGCCCTCGCCGCCATCGCCGCTGCCGGCGGGGCCCGAGCTGTTTGAGGTCGGCGCTGGGCACACAGCGACCCTCCCGCCAACCGCCCCCATCCATCGCGCGCCGGATGGCTCGAGGCCGTGTCGTAAGAGCGCCCTCGCCTTCGCCCTCGCCCTCGCCCGCGCCCGCGCCCGCGCCCGCCCGTGCCGCCTGGCAGAACAGCGCTCCTTACGCGGACCGAAACGCGCGTATTTGCTGAAGACGGCTCGCGATTGCGCGCAATACCTTGTATGTTTCCTTAATGTTAATAAAAATGGTATTTTCGTAAAAACTAACTTAATGCCGTGCATTAACAAGAGTATAACATGTTTAGTTTGAATTTTTTCAATCGAATTGGTATATTATTTGGAATTGGTGTACTTAAGCCATTCAATATGACTTTATAAACGGCAACCTATTTTATATGCCAAACACAGGGGAATTTCTATCTAATCACCTCAGTGGTAACATCCGTGGCTCAGTGGTAATATCTGTTGCAGATGCATGGTCTCTGACTGCGGTCCAAGGTTGGAGTCTCGAAGGTGGTACATATTTGACACCAACTAGAGAGCTATTTCGAATTCAGCCACTCTCTGGAGGAGAATTCTGGCGGCCGGCTGCCCTAATTGATAGTTTTCTGTGCTTAATCCGTTAAATAACAGGTGAATACCGAAGCAGTGCCTTTTCCCTCATCCTTGGCTCTTCCTCTCCTCATTCATATATACATACAACATACATACACACACCAGTATTACACTACTACTCGAATTGAAACACAATTCACGCTTTTTTCGACGGAGACAATGCCCTACGTGAGATATCTCTAGGTAAAAAAAGCCATAATCCATTTAGGTCGGCACTGTATCTCACTGTTCAGTGAGATAGGAACACTGCCACCTCCCGGCTATAACATGTAATGTACTAAAAGGACTAATGTCAAAAGTAGTTGACAATGAATACCATTTCATTTAAGTAATTTAAAATAATTTTCAAGTATTATCTAAATGGAATTTCGTGTACTGGAACTTATTATAGCAACTGAATATACATTTGCTCTTTTCTATTTTTGGTTTTCGCAATCGTACTCGAGTAGGGTGACCAGACGTCTTCCTTTGCACTTTTGTCCGGGATCCGGCACATTTTTTTAAATTCACAAAATGTCCTCATTTTAGTAACTTCCTCGCCTGAGAGCACGCTATTTTCAAAATGTTTGTTTTGACTTCTGTATACACTAATATATCTGGAGCAGTACCTGTATCAGCGGAGTATTCCCTCTTCTCCGTGCAAATCGACATGCAGAAAATATCCTACATGCAAAATGGAAAGAATCAATTCTGAAGCTGAATTAACTGTTTGTTTAGCTGGAACCTATGTCTGTATATCGAAAAATGTTTGATAGTTTGGCATGTATTAGTACTTTACATCTGTGAAAATACATCC